TATATTTCCACACTTCCCGAATTTCATTAAGCAGAACAACCATTTATAACTAATAAGAATAGAGTAAGAAGAAATGTTTCTTGAGTGCCAAATTACCATATTAGAATAATTTCTGAAGGAAATATATATTTACTATATTAGTATTTTAGACTGTATTTTTGGTCAAATAAATGCAGCTTTGGTGAGCAAAAGAAACTTCTTTCAAAAGCACAAAATTTTGAAGTATATATTTCTGTCCGAATGGCTTTAGAAAACGTATAGCATATAAGAAACTTGCCATGGTCATATTTGGTCACTAAGAACGGTTGTTGAAGATTCTTCCAAATATCATATTAAACAAAATATCACATTAAGAAAGTTGTACAAGTTTGGAAATGACATGAGGGTGAGTAAATAAAGGAAAGAAAGGAACAGGTTGCACAAAAGTAATTACTGCCTTTGTTCTCTTATACACTACAAACTTAGTAGCTGTAGATAAAGTAAAATAACTGTGAGGCAAAATTGATATGTTTGTGGGAAGCAAACAAGCCTCTTCTTCGTGAAATCAATAAAGGCACGAGTGTTTGTATTTTCTCTAAAATCGCAAGCCCGCCCACTCATGAAGACATGAAGTCCAGATTGATTTTCTGTCCACTACTTCTGTTTGTTCCAGCCTCCCCTTTTCACCAAGTTCCTGCTTTTCCTGTCCGTCTTAGAAAACCAAATCTTAATCACTTTAGCCCTCGAGACAGAGGGGTGTGGTAGGGGTCAGGGGCCGCCTTCCTAACTTGTGATTTTCCTTGCATACTTTGGCATTTCGATATCCTGGTTTTCACCTAACCAAGCGCTCCATTGATTCCCAATAAATAGCTTTGAACTCTCCTTGCCCTGCTCTATTTCCTCAGAAACTGTAAAGATTTTTGGCGCTCCTGTGAGCGTTTGATTTGAAGGGCTGTCCTCCTCCCCTGGGCTTCAGTTGGTTTACTGAAGACTGCGTCTGAGAGAAGAGGTAGAGGACGTAAAGTTCTGTTGGCGTTCTTATCCTAGATTTAACTAATGGTCACCTACACATGCGACCTTGTCTTGGACATCTGCTGGAGAGAGAGAAAGAGGGCGCCCTGCCAAACGCTTTGCTGCTAATTAATTCACTATTGTCTGCTTTGTAAACGGAAACCAGTTTGGCTCTAGCTCCAACACAGAGTTTCGCTCACGCAATCTGGATATACATTTCTTGGAGGTGGTGACCTTGTGCTGTTTATTGACTTTCCAAGGTTGTGTGAGTGTGTGTTCGATTTCCAGGTCATTCAGTCTGAGGTTTTTTTCAGCGCACCAATATTATTTACCTGAATAAGGTATAAAAACGATCTACATGCTGACCACGAGCTGTTTATGAATTTGACATTGATATGATCCAGTTCATGCTAAACTCAACTCACTCATCTACAAAAACAGTATAAAGAGGACAACATGGACAACTCATGGAAAAATACGGCTTTAAGAATGGAAGTCCCACCTTTCAATTAAAAACAGCCAGTGAGGGTTTTTGTTGAGTGATTTGTAAAAAAGGCGCTAAATTTATGATGCCATATTATTTCAGATTTTTATGGAAGCCTCTTTCTGCTTCAGACTAAAAAAATCTGAGTTTAAAATAGAAATAAAGTCTCATTGTGAGATAAATTTGTAGTTACAAAATATAAAGTAGCATTGCAAGATATGAAGCTGCAGCTACTAGAAACAAAGTAACAATTATAAGATGTAAACTATTTGTCATAATGGGACTTATATTTTGAAATATAAATTTGCAATTGCAAGATATAAAGTCACATTGCAAGATATAAAGTTGCAACCGCTAGAGACTTAGTCACAATTATGAGATATAGTCAAATTGTGACAAATTTGTTTATGAGAAATAGTCACATTTTTAAGTGAGATATACATTTGTAATTATGAAATATTAAGTCACATTGTGAAATACAAAAGTTGCAACTGAAACAAAGTTCCTAGATAGCACACGTATGTCTGCAAGATCTCAGTTCTTCATCTGAAAAGCATCTGATAGACATATTTAAGATGTCAATTTTACATACATTCTAAATCATAAACATCTTAAAGACATCTTCTAAACGTCTATTTGACATCTGATAGGAAATGTCATATTGACGTATTGCAGATGAGCAAACACTCTAAAAAATATGTCTAGTAGATGTAAATGCAGACATCAGATAGACGTCTTCATGATTTACGTGTGCTATCGGGGTTGCAATTACGAGATATAAAATCCTATTGTGACAAAATTGGGTTTACGAGAAGTATCACAATTGTCGCAATTACTTTTATATGTGTATTTTTATACTCTAACATATACACAGACTTGACAGATTTGACATGTAAGTTTAACAAACACTTGAAATGTTGTGTCATTCTTAATTAAGTAGATGTGCTGTAGGTGCAGGTAGAAATTAGCTGCCCAATGGCAATAGCAAGATGGCTGCCAAGTGAACTGTTTAGCTGTAAAATGACTGTTTTCTATCACAAACCAGTCAATCAAGCTTTCACTGTAGTTTATTTCAAAATGTTATTCAATTCATTTTTAACAAGTAATGAGAGTGTCCTAGCTTGTTTATATGGCTGCTGTCTGCACTGCTTTTGCTTAGTAATTAATTCCTTTTGACTGGTAATGAGAGTGTCATCAAAGCATTCACTGACATTTTCTCATTGGGTACGTCGTTCTTGTTAACTGTCTCTCTTTTGTTCCCTCCCATTCACTGTCTTCAGTCTTTATTTCTCTCAGGTTCACCCCCCTTTTTCTATATCTTCCTTGTCCCTTCAAAGCGCTTAGCCAGACCACCTGGGGACAGAGACAGACAGTTTCAGATTTAGTTGCATCTCAGTTGCCACAGGCAGGCGCCTTCAGCTATGATAGCTTTCTGCCTCTCTTTCGGTTTTCCGAGGGCAACTCAAAGACTAACTAGGCTTTGAATCATCCCTTTGTTTCAATGTCTGTCTGGTCTTGTTAAACAAATAAGAGTGGTGTCATAAATTTGGCTGCAATTTTGAGAGAAATACAGCATGCAACCAATAAAGGGTGGATAGTAGTCATAGTCTAAAATTCTGTCCGCATTTACTGATACTTACATTGAATAAGTAAGTAAATGATAACAAATGTTTCATTTATGTGAACTATTTTTTAACACAGAATGTTGGGTAATGATTCCACAATGTTTTTTGCAATATACATGAGACTAGTTTTTTGTCTTCAAATCGTAGATCAAGTCAAAAACAGTTACTACATTGGTCTGGATGGCTCCTTGCGTCTGGTATTGGCCAATGGCATGGAAGTGTCTCTTCACACGGAGCCTCACCTGCTGTCAGGAACAGTCAACCCAACCATAAGCAAGAGAAATGTCACTCTGCCCATTGATAATGGACTCAACCTGGTGGAATGGAGACAACGGAAAGAACAGGCACGAGGACAGGTCACAGTGTATGGACGCAGACTCAGGGTAAGAACATCATCAAGTTTTATTTTCACATTTAATAATACTACTATTAGAATTTTGTACTCTTACATGAATTTCAGAGTCTAATATTTCTAAAAAAGCTGGCAGTACTGTGCTGTTATTGGAAAAGGTGGTAAAATCAAAGAAGTTTTTTTTTAAATCAAGACCACATAGCCATTTTTGCTCAAGTGTTACTAGAGAGCATTTGGAAGTATTTTAGACACATTTAAGAAATAATTATGAGAGCTATGAGGCCCACTAGCAGCACATCCAAGGCCAAATTGTCAGAAATCAATGCAAAAGCTACTATTTATGCTGTTGATAAACTGTTTATTCATTTGGAAAATGCTTTTATCCCAAGCAATTTACAGAAAAATTAATTAATTAATAAATATATCTAATCTTGTAAGTTGTGTTTCTGATTATGATCTAATGTCACAAAATTCAGAAAGAATTCTATAGAAAACACCTTGAATCTGAAAAAAAAAACAGTGAAATTGAAATTTATGCAGTTATGTTGTCGGTGTACTTTGAAAGTACTGTGAAGTTTGATTGACTTTAAGTGGTTCATATTTTATATTGTTTTGTAATATTCATTTATGATTTTATGATTAAATAATAAATATCAGTAACAATAATCGACTAATAATTTGTTGAAATACTTTTAAAACTAAGATTAATTATTCATTATTCATATTGCCTAATCTTTGCATTTTGCATTTGTTTTTTATTTTTATTCATCAAATAGAAATTGTCATTGTGTTTTGTGACACTTACTGTACAACCTACCTGTCATCAGAACCTCACATAGTCAGGTAATTGTGCACAGACCCTAGCGTTACCTCATCGTTGTCATCTGCTCATCCTGAGTTCATTTTATACCTTGCAGTCACACCTCTACATAGCAGCTCATCTGAGCATCAAGGCCCCTGTACTTGGAGTAATTGCATCCTGATTATAATCTCTATTGCTTCTTCTCATCAGTCTCATAGTCAAACGCTGTACCTGTCTTTTAGACTGATCACTCTTAATATGGCTGCCCCATAGAGTCTGGCCAGGCCATATTGGTCAAGTAGCTGCCTCCCAAGGTCAGCGTGTGCATGTAAGCGTGTGTGTGTGTCTGTGTCTCAGTGGTCTATCCATCATTGAGCAGCTCTCTGACCCTGAGGGCTGAGGTCAGGGTTGACTCTCTCATGATCTTTAAAACCCAAAGGGTTTCCTCAGACAGCACCTGATATCTTCATAATTCTTGTGCAACCAGTAATGGGACCACCTCACAGCTTTTGCAAGATGATATATGTGCATATATACACACTACCATTTAAAACTTTTGGGGTCAGTAATTATAATTTTTTTTAATCGTTTTGTCCTTTTTTTCAGCAAGGATGCATTAATTTGATCTAAAGTGATAATAAAGATTTATATTAAAATATTTTTATTTCAAATTGCAGTTATTTTGAACTTTCTATTCATCAAAGAATCCTGAAAAAAAATGTATCATGGTTTTCAAAAAAATAGAAGGGCTCCTTTTCCCGAGTTTAGCCCAGGGAGGGCTCCTGTCCCCGAGTGTAGCCCAGTGAGGGTCCCTGTCCCCAAGTGTAACCCAGTGAGGGCTCCAGTCCCCGAGTTTAGCCCAGAGAGGGCTCCAGTCCCCGAGTTTAGCCCAGAGAAGGTTCCAGTCCCCGTGTCTAGCACAGAAAGGGCTCCAGTTCCCATGTCCAGATCCCAAGTTAGGCCTACGGAGGGCCTCTAAAGACGATATTCTCCCCAATTATTTTTTTGGGGGGGGGGAGCTATGTTCTGCCCATAGTGTCTGGGCCGAGTGGCGAAGCCGAGGCCGTCCAGCCATGGCCTCCTGAGTTCCCTACTCCGCCATGGCCTTCTGAACTGTCTGCTCCGCCATGGACTCCTGAACTGCTTGCTCAGCCATGGCGTCCCGAACTGCCTGTGCCGCCATGGCACCCTGGACTGCCTGATTCCGCCATGGCCCCTGAGCTCCCTGTGCTGCCATGGCACCCTGGACTGCTTGCCTGGAGATATTCCCTGTGTCCCAGTCCTGCACCAGCCTCCAGGGCGCCCACCCCCCCCGTCAAAACGCACCTTCCAGGAGGGGGGAGTAATGTCAGACTCTGTTCCGTGTTTTAAGTGCGTTTTCCTCCCCCCACGTGCTCCATTTGTAATGGGGAGACAGGGACGAGAGACGTGCAGATCCATTTGCAAGCTTTTATTCAAAGACGTGGTCACAAAACAGACAATGGCGAACAGGTATGTTGTAGGCAAGACAAAAGAGTAATCCAAGGACAGGCGTGGGTCAAATGACGGTGAACATAATCCAGAGGGCGAAGCAAACGGGTAATCCAACAGACAGGTTATATTCCAGGCAAGGTGCAAACATAGTCCAAACCAGCAAGACAAAGGGATAATCCAAGACAGGCTAATAATCAGGAAACAGGCAATCAGGAAACAAGACATGGCTAGACTAAGACTAGGATCTGAGACTGGAAACTAAGACAGGAAAACTAAACTTGCTCCGTAATGTAGCTATCGCTAGGAGAGTGATAAACGGTAAACAATACTCGGCGGTCTGAGCAGGAACTGATTGGCTGTTATATAGTGTGTGTGATTGGTCTCTTGTGACACCATGTCTATTTCATGCCCATATTTGGTCTTTCCTGTTTCCGGTTCCTATTATGTTTATTGATCCCAGGTGTTTCTCGTCATCCCCTCGTCATGTCTTGTGTATTTAAAGTGTTTGCTTTTCTTAGTTCCTCGTGCTGTCTTAAACGTCTACTCCTCGTGCTGTGTGTGTGTGTCTCCTGATTCCCCTGTGTTTTCTAAAGTTCGGATATAATAAAGTGTGTATATATATATATATATATA